TTTTTCGTTTCTTTCTCAAAAACTAAGAGTTGTCCAGGAAAAGGGGTAGCATATCTGGGATCCTCGTTAAATTCCCCATCGATTGATGCATTCCGTTTTTTTGTAAACCAGCCCCAGGAAAAGTGACCTGTTTTGCTATGAACGAAGCATAACAGGAATCGTCTATGTGTTGGCAACATTTTCTTTTTGATTTTGAAAGTGAAGTTCAAGATAAAAGGAATATGAGATAAAAGTTTTTATTTTCGTGGTAGTACGTGCGATGGTAACCGATTAAGCTGAAATGCTTTACGGTAGATAGTAGACATACAGAATAGTTTATGGTGAATGTTTTAAACCTTAGTAATGCTCCGTTCAGAAGTTGTGGCGGCTAGAAAACATGAAAGACGGCGAATATTCCAGAAAAGGTGAAAGCAGGAAGGTGAATAAGACCATTTTCCGTACCCCAATATTTTTGAAAAAGAATTACATACTCGGACAGTTTTTGACGCTCTTTTTAATGGCTAAGTCTAAACTTTCCGACAACGTCGAGTTTTTTCCGCTAACGAACTTCACTGGAAAAAGTACACCCCGGTCGGGCTATATGATTTTTGGCGATATCCCGATCGGGATATAAGTCGTGCTCATCTACTGTCGAGATCAACGTCAAATTCTGCATCGAATGATGTATTTGATTCACTCGAAAATCGACTTTCATTTCTTTCTCAAATTTCAATGAAAGATACATCATTCGATGCAAAATTTCATACTCTGTACGAATATCACGTCGAAACTTGAAAAAGTTGAGTCTTGACCGAAAAAATTGAGTTTTATCGGAAAACGGCATTGGTGACCTAATTGAATAAATGCTGTTTTAGTACCTCAAGATGCTGTTTGATAACATTCAAAATCAGCTAGATATACTCAAAAACGTATTAGCTTTCCGAATATCACATTTAAAATGTTCCAAATGTCCATTTTCATTGTAAAAGATTGCTTTAACTTCGAAAAACCACGTATTAGAATCCGTATTTTTTTCCTCACTACCAAACAAAAAGTCTAACCAATACGAAAATGATACGAGATATGCAGTTTCGGATACTCTATTAAATGAACCTGCTTTGAGTAAGCTGTTTTGTGCTAATAACATAACTGTGCATTTTTTACTGTTTTTGAAAATTTTAATGCAAATGACATAAGATTCAGTGTATTCTCCCTTTCTCTTTTCCTACCCAAGGATGAAAAAATAAGCTACCTTTTTCCTAAAAAATAAGATACTTTTTCTAAAAAATGACTCGACGTAGAGTATAGTGTTAGAAAGTAGTGTAAAAGGTAGAAATCGGTATCTTTTAGTTAATTTTACTTCAATTCGCCAAAATGACAGCTTATAGCACAAATTGAAGTCGGCACTATTTTTCATGGGCATAGATTGACTAAACATATAAAATGTAAAATTTATTCTTTTGTCGTTTCTTGCTTTCTATCTTCACCTCTACACATGCGAAGAAGGAAGAAAGATCAAAAAGATGGCTTTCTTTGAAGTTGGAAGGTGAACTAACTTGTACTGTAGTTTGTAGTGAAGGAAAATGTGAAATCTCAACACGGAGATCCTCGAGTAAAAACCACGGTTACCTTAGCGAGATCTTTTCGACGTACAACGTAATCGACTACGCCTAATATCTATGACTCCCAAACCAGTTTTCTTTAGAAAATAATGGTCAAACTCTCATATGCTGTGTCTTTCCGTTTCGTTTCACAATATAGTTCAGCAGCATCATGAGTCTATTCTATGTAATACTTGAACAAACCCACTATGACAACCGTAGTGGAAAATCATTATTACTGTTTGTCTAAGATCATGTTACCAGTGATAAGGCCAAATAGAATATACACATTATCTATAATTAATTAGCATAGTTAATATGTACTTTGGGCTTATTCTTAGTTGAGATCAGTTTTCTCGGAAAAATCCTAGCGGGCGATTCTCCCACTAATGCGCCCCCGTTCTTTATGAAACTTGTGTCCTAGCTAAACTTGACTACGCATGTGCACTGTACGATGATGAGATGATCACATCAGATACTGGATGTGAGCCTAGCAAACATAAAAGGTGATGTATTCCAACAGCCCACAATTCTAGCAATCCTACAACCACTGCCATTCCGATGATGATATCGATTCGATTGAAGCATAGAAAAAGCGCTCACTGGAAAAGCGATAATTGAGTATGGTTTTTGTCCATGTGTTGGATCGCTGTTCGCAGGACAGCGAAGCGGTCGTCGCTATTCTTCAAGATGTACTAAAACTGAACTGAACTGAATTGAATTTTTATTTTTGCAAGCATGGTTGTGCAAAGAAAGACTAGCTTATGCTAATGCAACACCGAAAACGGGTAAAGGATGAAAATCAATCCATTGAGCATGCAGATAATGCTGGCCGTTCTCACTCCGCAGGTACTATTTTGGCCTTACGGCAAGTCCCCATTGAATCGAAAGTTCAAATTGAACGAATCGACTTTTGGGACCCCAAGCGGAAAGTCAGCATGTGATCGTCATGCAGCTGTCATTAAAGGAAACGTTCGGTGGTATTTAAACGAAAAGCATAACGTAACGCATGCGGCTGATTTTGTCGAAGCCTGTCACTTCTACAACGGAGTGAAAGGTGTACAAGCATATGAATGTGACCTGCTGCGAAGCGAGAAAGAATCGGCCGCAAGTTTCCCGAAGATTACTTCGGTCAATAATTTCGGCTTCGAAAGAGCGGCATCCGTGTACATCGAGCCTAGAGAGTTGGAGGTGGAAAGTTAATTCCATGAAATGATTTGAAATATCTCGAAAAATCTTCAAATACTATGAGGGTCTAAAATTTCGAAAACCCCGTTTCAAAAAAATTCAAATGTTTTTGTTTTTGATTCTTTTAACTTTTCGAAAGTATTTGTTTCTGCTTCACCATGAAAAACTGAGTATGAGAACGACGCTTGATTGAGGTTGAAGTCAAAGATCTATTTAGTATGGACGCACCGGCCCACTAAAATCGGAATTCTACCCGTAGTTCTCTAGAGGTTTTTGGCTCTCAAAAATATTACCTGGTACTCACTCGACAAGGAACTTTTCTTTAAAATTTTGAAATGGAAAAAGAACTTTTTTCACATAAGGTTTTGTAGTTTTACACCGCTAGCCAAAAGAAGTATTTTTACGAGAGTGTTTGAATGCTATGCTTATGATAAACAACACAACGGGCGCATGATTAGGGCGCTAGGGAAGAGGAGCAAACAACTTTCCCATCGTCGAAAACTTCGCACATCTGTAGAACTGAAATCATGCGTTATACAGAGTTTGACCTAAAAAGCTATTTTCAAACTCATCATCATTAGAATTACTATAAGTTTTTCTTCAGAACATTGGAATGGCAGTAGAATACATCTGAGACATCCTGCATTAACAACGCATGACGCATTCGGAACTTTCTTCCGTAAAAGCTCTTTTACTTGGTTTTCAATACAATGGTAGATAGAAGAATTTTTTTTCCGATAATTATTTCTTATCTTTTAAACTGTATCGGAAAGCATTTCAATGTTTTCAAGAAATGTGAGAAATGCATTAAATTTATTCTTTCAAGCTCTTTCATCATTGTATAATCCTAATTTCATCTCAAAATACAGCATTGTTCCAGCGAAACAATTTGTCAGAAACGGGATGTTCATAATTAGAGTCCTTGTTTGCACTGACACGAAAGTGAAGCTATCATCATATTGTGATAATTTTCAATTAACTTCGCCTCTGATTTGGACCAATCGTGATTCATTATATTTTCTCGTAAAAAAAAATTTAGTAGAATGAATTTTGTAGATTTTGGCTCTCGGGTGTTCTACTACTTACGCAAGGTTTCGAGAATTTTTTTCTCAGAATCAGAAAGATTGGACAAACTTTGTGCATACTTTGCAATTTTTGATTGATAAGCAACCTCTCTTATATAACAACGGTATACGTAGAATCACAAAGCTACCACTATAGTTTGAAAATGTAATATTTTATCGATCGATAAAGCTTCTTTGTTAGCGTATTTTATTAACTTTTTGTCGTGTATGTGTACTACTTGCCTGCCAAGCACTTTTTTGGTCTACCTGCTGAACGAAAAATGTTAAAAGTAAATAGAAACAGAAGAGAAGAACGATAAAAATCGTGTCTTTTAAGAAACAGAAAGTATAAAGGCATTGCTGCCACCTTTATTCACTGTCATCATAACTAAACATATTACTTATATTCAAGCTCTACACACACAAATGGCTGCTGCAAATTCAACTATGAATGAGCCATGCAAATTATGTGAGAAAGGGAAATATAAATGTCAAGGTTGCCATCTATCCTGTTGTAAACGACATTTCGACGAACATAGACAACAGTTGGCACGTCAATTTGACAAAGTCATTTATGAGCATGATCTTCTACATGAATTGCTCAATCCAAAACCGTCGATCAATAACGACAAAACCGAAGGTGATTTACTGCAAAAAATCGACAATTGGGAAGTTGAAACAATACAAAAAGTAAAATATGCAGCTCAACATGCTCGGGAAAAGATGAAACAACTAATGAAACATCCAGAGGAGCGAATCCACAAAGAATTCTGTTTGATTACAAATGAATTGAAACAGAGTAGACAAGATGATGACTACTTGGAACCAGATTTCGAGCGGTGGTATCAGCAATTGCGAAAGTTGAAACAACAACTCCAGTCCACAAGTGATAAAATTCAGATAAATACACGAAAGAGTGACGCAATAGACTGGTCAACATTGATTAAAGTAGATACAATAAATGAATCTACTGCAGCAACTGGCAAGAAGGCTTCAGACATAAACATAAAGCCAGTACGTATGTGTGGCATTGATTTGTACCAAATAAAGTAGAATACATCACAAGCTAAAAGCACAATAGAGCTAAACTGATATTTTATTCTGGAAGTGCTACCAGGATGGAACAGTGCTCTATAACCATGATGCAGAATGTATCTGAGCAATGACGCAATCTTTTTTGTCCTTCACCCGTTTACCTAGGTACATAACAATACAAATCGAATTGGATTCAATTTGTTTTTTGAAATATTTATCCGAGCATCGAATATCATAGTAACTTTGGTTCTTAGGGCTTCGGAGACTTGGTTTTATAGAAAATTTGGCTTTTCATGCAAAACCTGTTTTTCATTAAAATCGCTTACTGATCTGGCCAGTTTGTCGAGCATGTCGAGATAGTTACATAAAAAGCGTATCAAAACAGGCATAACTCAGCCAAATTTAGTGCGATAGAACTGAAACGGTTTCTATTTAGCTATCTAAACAGACTCTAGAAACTGACCAGATCAGAAATCGATTTTAATGAAACAAAGGTTTTACATGAAAAACTAAATTTTGTATTAAACCAGGTTTCGGAAACACTAAGAGCCGAAGTCACTGCGATATTCAGAATTAGCACCATCGATTACCTATAACCATGTGGATTTCAAGGGAAAAGTGATATTTAACCCCCCCAAAACCCCCCAAAGCTTCAAATTTCATCGAATAGAGTCGACTAGCCTGGAAATGATTCAGACTTGACTTCGGAGTCCATTAAGCTATAGAAAACGTTTCAAACTAATGAAAGCGGAGACCACAAACTTTAACCTTTGCAAACTAAACATCATCATATTTTCTTCACTTCTTGTTGCGCTATCGCCTCATAGGAACGTAAAACTTGAGACAAAAGTTATAGGTATCCTAAGAAGTCAATATTTTGAGGATCTTTTCTAAAACAATGCATAGCTCTATGAATTTCGATTTTCGTGAAACACGCGCTACTAAAACACATTATAAACGCTTTCCTCCTTGATCCATCCCGAAAACCACTGCATCAAGCAAATGAAGTCACTAGTAATGCAAACTTGCCACTATGTTTAGGAATCCAGTCGAGACTACATCCATAAAGCGCAACCGATTGCATCCCACACGGCACTAGTTCGACCGTTATTCATCGGTGGAAAACTGCTGAATTCAGGAGAATATCAAGTGAAACTCAATGAATTTTACGGCAAACCAAACCAACAATGGGACATGATTTACCAAGGCACAAAACACGGCTTCATTGCGAAACATTATCATCAAAGATGCGATGCCAAAGGACCCACCATGACTATCATTCAATCTATGCCAGGCCACTATCTATTCGGCGCAACAATTCAAATACCATCTACACTATAAGACGAAAGCACGAGCACATTTTCAACAACATCCCACGTCATACATGGACAACGCAATGCATTCACATCCCTTCCGTGGAGCAGCAAGAATACCAGAGCAAAGGATACCAAACCATTTTTGTTCACAATAACAAACCCTTCACATACTGCCATCCCAAAATTTGACATAGCTAAGAACTATACCAATTATGCAATACAACATCATCCTAATCACGGACCAATATTCGGTAAGCCCAATTCATGTGCATCGTCAACACTTTTCCCACATTATCTCTTGGTCACAGTCGAGTACTTCTTCTCCTCTCTCCGTCTTTTAACAAGAAAGTGGCGTCACCTCCTTCCGACCACAATACACGAAGTATCATTTGATGGGACTAATTCATATGCATCGTCGCCACTTTCCTCACATTATCTCTTGGTCACAGTCGAGTCGTTCTTCTCCTCTCTTGGTCTTTTAACAAGAAAGTGGCGTCACCTCCTTCCGACCACAATACACGAAGTATCATTTGATGGGACTAATTCATATGCATCGTCGCCACCTTCCTCACATTATCTCTTGGTCACAGTCGAGTCCTTCTTCTCCTCTCTTCGTCTTTTAACAAGAAAGTAGCGTCACCTCCTTCCGACCACAATACACGAAGTATCATTTGGTGGGACTAATTCATATGCATCGTCGCCACCTTCCTCACATTATCTCTTGGTCACAGTCGAGTCCTTCTTCTCCTCTCTTGGTCTTTTAACAAGAAAGTGGCGTCACCTCCTTCCGACCACAATACACGAAGTATCATTTGGTGGGACTAATTCATATGCATCGTCGCCACCTTCCTCACATTATCTCTTGGTCACAGTCGAGTCCTTCTTCTCCTCTCTTCGTCTTTTAACAAGAAAGTAGCGTCACCTCCTTCCGACCACAATAAAA